AATGGAGTTTAATTATAATTAACATTGCTTAATTAACTAATTACTTTGTTAATTTACATTGCTTTCCAACTTATATTCCCTTTTTGAGTATATTCCAAAAGGAAAGTGGTGGGCTGAATTTATTTATTTATTAATTACATAATATACATTAATTATAAGACAATAAAAAATAATTTATAATATAAAATATACGCAAAAACTTAATTTAATTGGAATCCGTAATTTTTTATAAAATATAAAATATATTAATTATTTATTTATTAATTATAATAAAATATAAATAATATTCAATTCGAATTTATAATTATTGTAAAAAATAATAAATACACGTACTATTAAATTAAATAATAATAATTTTTTTTTCTTTTAAAAAAATGCTTCTTGTACAAGTTTTATTTTTATTTTTTATTTTTTAAAAATATTTTGATTAACTACTAAAAATAGAAGATGCTTTAAGGACACGGTTGTGCTTATTGGTTGATGCTGAGCTGGCAATAATTTTGGTGGGCTGGCATGTGCACCTGTGGGGTTGATTTAGCTGGCTGACCGACCAATCACAGCTGTTCTAATCTGCGGCTGCGGGACCCGCAACAGAGAAGTTGTAAATCCTAAACATTTGCTGATACCAAATCCTAAATTAATTTTTTTTTAAAATTAAAATAAATATTATATTAGTTTAAAGTGTTCTGAATTTTCAATTTAATTTAAAATTTGATAAATAATTATGAAATAAAATCATATATATATATAAATATATCCTTTTGATAAAAATGCCCATTTATTATTTTTTTACATTTTAATAAATGGGTCGTCCCCTATACTATAAATAAGGGAAAAAGAATGTTCTCTAAATAAATAATAATTTATTTCTTTAGCTCTTTAAAATTAAATAATTGTGGTGTATGTATATATGTGGGTGTGTATGTAAATTAGAGTATGTAGGGAGAAAGTGGGATTTCTTTAATCAACATCTAAATTTAATATACAGGAATAAATGTATAGTTTATTACATACATTAATAGTAGAATATCATGTTTGTTTATGCACGAAATTAAAAATAATTTATTATTATTATGACGATTAATTATTAAGATGACGTAAATTAAATATTATTACAATTTAATAGTAAAAATAATAACTTTGAATCTTACCTCATTGTATAAAATATATATATATATATATTATTTTGTATATGTGGTTTCTTTATATAAAATCACATTAGCAAACCATTATTAGGGTATATATAATTATAGGTGTACTTGTTAATTAATCACTATAGCCACCAAAAAATGAGTTGTAAAGAAAAGCCAGCTAAATGAATTATGATAGTTTTAACGTAATCTTTTTATTCGTGATATATTTAATGTCACGAGTTTAAACTTATTCATAAAGTAAATTTCTCATTTAAATTTAAATAATGTATTATAAACTGACG